CGGCGCCCTTTTTCAATTTAAATTTTTCCATGGCATCCTACTCTAAATATGACTATTCGTAAGTAAGAGATAACAATAAATAAAACTCGGGCATCTTCATTATTTTTTTACTTTACTAACATAAATTAATATTTAATAATCAATGTGATGGATGAGCCTGCAAATCACTGCACATTTCCTCAAATCGTGGAAGTAAACTGGACACGGCCACCCTCATTTTCTTTTCCACGTTGATTTTTCTCTACTTGCTTTTTATTACAGCGACCGCCGGAAGCCCAGCTTCGCACAAATACGACGTCGAGAATGGAATTAGAATCCGCTGAGCCTCATCACTTAGAAGGGGATATTCATCTTTTATTGAAATCCAAAATTCTGTCAATTCCATGCTGCCAAATATTTTCGTTTCTTCACACTAGTGCCACTGGTTAATGGCATACTTTCTTTATCTGCACTATTACGTTTATAAATGTTCGAAAATCCATTATCAAAGATACAAGGGCCAAAAATCACAAAATTATTTATCTAAGTATTATATAACACTAACTAAATTTCATATGAACTCATTTACTAATTAATGTCCCTTTTTATTTATTTATGAAGCGCTGAGTTTGACTTGACTAGACTCAAATTATAAGTCGACTGACTAAATCGAGCCGACAACGCTTGTTCATATGCTTTCCACAAGATCTTTCAGAACATTCCAAATCTGTTGCGAAGGTTCTACGCACCTCGACGTGTCTAGTGCGATCATATGGCGCGATCGAGAAGAGGCAGCGTTTTCTCTCACGTTTTTGTTTAGTCAGGCCAATTAATTATGAAGCTTTTACAATATTTCGCGGCGCACAGTTTGGGAATCACTGGACTAAACTAACTTATACTTGCTACAGCAGTCGACGACACTAATTATTTTTCATTTTTGACTGGGTTTTCGAGAGTGCCAATGACTCGTATGCTGGGAATTGTGCTCAGCCGATTTCGTTTAAGGTGATGAAGGATTGATAATTTAATTTTCCCACAATGATATTAATAGACTGATAGCTGAACTTCCATCCACAAAAAATTGAGTAAACCATATTATCCCGTCCAAAAAGGGGCGAGAGAGCATTTTACAAGGCGAGGCTGAGTGAAAGTGAGTGGTATCATGAGGTCTACTCCTTAAATCATGGAAAAATTCAGCCACCTATCCTATATCCTCTTATGTGATCCAAGGTTATCTAGTGTCCTTTCAACATAATTGTTTCAAAACCTTCATACAATGAGCTAGCTAGACAGTATTACGAATTTATACCAAGCAAAGTTGGGTTTCGAGGAATCTCTTGTTTCATAATTGTTGGGATTACTACCATTTCGAGTAGAAGTGTTGGGTGAAGAGATTCGAAAGTCGGTTCCACCAGAAGACGACGGCGAATT